TTATTACTCCGCCTGCGCATGCGCAGTGCGGAGTCTAAAAATGCCTGAGTCTGTTGTCGGTTGTCGACTGTCGTCAGTGTCACAAACAGGCTCCTTGATAAATGTGTACATTCCATGATATTTAGATACTTTCTATTGACATTTGTGGATAATGTTATACGATTTGGCAGCGCAATGCGCATGCTTACAGCTCTGCTTACAGTATTTTTCTAAACTGCGAACTGCGAAACGGTCTTGTGCGATGAAAAATACTAAACGATGAAAAATACTAAAAAGATGAATGTCAAGACAAAGCTTCCAGACTCAACTGAGGTAAGGGATACTAAACATTCTAATTTTGGTAGTACATGCTGCATTTTGGCAACAAGAAATTCTTTAAAGTCATAAATATAAATAAAAATATTCACTCCTACAGTCCTACTGTATGTCGTAATGTCGATCTTATATATATTCTTGACTAGCAAAATATATTCTTGTGTGAAAGGTCCCTACAATGTTCTGAAGAGTTTAGGCTATGTAGTGTTGAGGCTATCGGGTTATTAAATATATTTCAATGTTTTGAAGAGGTTAGGAAATGTAGTATTGAAGCTGTCGTGTTTATAATTTACTATACACGTTTAGTACGCAACTACCGGAAACGGCAGCCATGTGGTAGTATTAAGACAAAGAATCTCATTATTTTTTACTGAATTTCGCACATTCTTTTAATTCTCAAGGGATTGATTGCAAGACAAGAATATAATCTATGATATATAGTCATGTTAACAAATAACAGAAACGTCAGCTTCTTGAACTCACAGCCAGCTTGGGTTTGCTTGCTTTGCTCTTTCTACTGCCCTTGTGTGCATGAGTCAATTCCAGGAGTAACCATCCGGGAACACACCTGGGCATTTGATTTAATTGGTTATGATAGTGTAAATGCCCGGGTGCCGGGACACAACTTGAAGACTAATGCACGGCCCCTGGGCAAGCTGAGAGTGGAAAATGCCTCACCCCGGGGGACGATTTCACAGTCGATTTCACGAAACTTTGACCACAAATGTTCCGAACTTCGTTGCGAAGTTCGCAAGTTCGTTGCAAAGTTTGGAAGCTCATATTGGAATCACAAGCCAAGTTGTAAACAAAGTCCCCAATTGGTCCCTGAAGTAAAAGAAGCCAATCAAATGCGTTATGCGTAGTTTACGAACTGGTTTGTGAATCTCATTATGAAC